GCTGCCTCGAGGAATGTGGGTATTATTATGACTGGGAGGAGTGGACTCATTTAGACTAACATATTCATCTTGACACAGCCAGGTTTCAGTGAGACTGAGTAAATCAATATGATTATCTGATATTAATTCGTTTACTAACACTGCTTTAGACGATAGAGACCTGATATTTAACAGTCCGCATTTAATTCTCCTGTTTTGTCTTTCTGTCACAGAAGAGGTTTTAATTTTTATGAGGTTGTTATGCACAACTCCTCTTTGTTTAATTTTAGATTTAAATAATGTAGGTGGTCGGGGGACAGACACCGTTTGTATAAAACTATGAAAACTATGGCTGGGTAACTGAACTAGAAGCTCAGAGAGGCGTATAGGACTGTGACTCTGAGTCCTGGTCTCAACTCTGGGTTGTCAGGGATTTAAATTACTAATAAAGTTTGCCAGGTTCCTAGAAATGAGAGCAGCTCCATCCAAAGTGGGATGAATGCTGTCTCTCCTAATAAGATCAGGTTTTCCCCAGAAAGTTTGCCAATTATTAACGAAACCCACATCGTTTGCTGGACACCACCTGGACAGCCACCGATTAAGTGATGACATGCGGCTAAACATGTCATCAGTGGTCAGATTTGGGAGGGGTCCAGAGAAAACTACGGAATCCGACATCGTTTTTGCATATTCACACACCGAGGCAATATTAATTTTAGTGACCTCCGATTGGCGTAACCGGGTGTCATTGCCGCCGACATGAATAACAATCTTACTGAATCTACGTTTAGCTTTAGCCAGCAGTATATATATATATATATCTTCCCACGAAAACGGGCATATTAAATGGATATTAAAACACTTTAAAACTTACACGTCAGGAGTTCTTACCTGTCGGGATCCTTCGGGAAACGGTGGAAGGCCAGGTGCGGGGTGTTCCACTGATAGTTGTTGCAGTTAATTGCACTACACTGTTTTCTTTTACTTATTTTCTCCTCTCTCCTTAACATCTTGCATGTTGTCTGGGCACAACAGTCCAAGCTCAACAGTCCAAGCTCAACAGTCCAAAATGGCGGCAGCGACCCTAGTGGCTGTTGGCAGAAATTCAACAGAGCTTCGCCTCTTGGTATCCATGCTCTTTGCTTCCTGAACTTGATTTCTAACTTCCTGTACTTGTTTTCTGACTTCCTGTATTTGACTTACTACTTCCTGTACTTGATCTCTGACTTCCTGTACTCGATTTCTGATTTCCTGTTCTTCATTTCTGACCTCCTGTATTTGACTTACTACTTCCTGTACTTGTTTTTTTACTCCTTGGCTTTTAACCTAGCATGAGACTCTGCTCTTGTTTTACTGTTTTATTGTTTTTATTGTTTGTTTTATGTTTTTATTTTTGTACAGCACTTTGTTTCAGCTGTGGTTGTTTTTAAAGTGCTCTATAAATAAAGTTGAGTTGAGTTGAGTTTTCTGACTGCCTGTACTTGATTTCCTGTGTTCTCAGACCGGTTCATCAGTTTGAGATGGTGACGCTGAGCGATCAGATGATCTGTGCTGCTGACAACAAGGAGGCACTGCTGAGTCACCTGGTTCACATCCTGAAGGTACACCTGAGTGCCTCTGTGAGGACAGAGTGTCAGACAGTAGAAGAAGAAAAGAGGACAAAGTGTCCTCACTTTCAGACGTCTCTGTCTCAGGGTTCAGTTTAAATTTAGACTTTTAGGATGTCCAGACTTTGGTTATCAACTCATGAAATGTTGCCACTACCAAAGTCAGGACATCAACAAATGCACCTGGTTAGGTTAGAAAAAAAATTCATGGTTTTGCTCAACATTCATACAGGAAGTGAATGGCAGCATCATAGGTGAAAGTCCAGTGTTTGTTGGACGCATCCAGAAAAGTTTTTTGGTGTATGGGCCAGGCGAGCAGCTCCATTGGAATAAATAGGCGCCATTTTGGCGACCGGTAACTCGTTAATATTAAAATCTACATTCAAAATTCACACACTACACAAAGTACACACAGTATAGTGTGTGTACTTTGTGTAGTGTGTGTACTAGCTGTACATGTACTGACAGAAGTATTTGATTTGAGAAACAACACTACTCATCACTATAACCTGAGTTTATGTTTCTAGGTGATTCTCCCAGGGGGCGTGAGTTATGCAGAGGTGGGCGGAGCTTCTGCAGCCAGTAAAGTGTGTGTCGTAGAAGTGGGTGGAGCTTCTATTCACTCTGATGCCTGGTTGTTGCTGTGGGAGGACGGAGTCAGCATACATCCAGTCCACAGACACACACAGCAGCCTCTGAAGATGGATCTGAGCGCGCTCAGTCACCACGGTAACAGTGTTTATTGTCTCTTACAGATGACACGTCACACATGTGTTTGCACTGTTAGATCTGAAAGGCTTTGTTTCTGTATGTATTTAATATGAGGAGAAACATGGACCCAGCTGGAGTCCCACAGGGCTCCGTCCTGGGTCCTCCACTTTTCACATGTTAGCAAAGCAGACCGAGTTCGTCTCTATGCAGACGAAACGCAGCTTTCTACAGCTGTTGGTACAGAAGATCTGAGCCTGTTACATGTTTTAAATATTATATATTATAAATATGATATTTTCTGAGATCAGTGTGAGAACATCTGCAGTTGAGTCGGGACAGAACCAGGAGTTTTATTCATTTCCTAAAATAGAAACAAGCTCACAGGTAACTCAAATATGTCTCACACTGCAGGTAAGAAATCTGTGTGTTATTATTCTCTGTCATCTCAGTGTCCTGTCAGGTTCGATGAAGACAGAAATATCAGTGTTTTAAATAAAGAAATAATGTATGCTCTGGGTGTTGCGTTCACAGACCCTCAGTATTTTTCAGTTCAATGTCACCAGATGTGGAAAATGTTTTATCAGCTGAAAGAGACATGTTTGATCTCAGTGTCACTAACTTGAGATGTAACAAGGTTAAACTGGTGTGAATGAACAAAAAAAAAAACAACAACCTGTGAATCAAAGTTTGATTTACATTCTTTTTCAGAAATGGATCCATCAGAAAACATCATCACCATGGCGACGGCCGACAGGTGTGAAACTTTTCTCTCATCAACAGATTCTTAAAGTCCAGTTCAGACCAAAGACTCGCAACGAGATGAAACGTGTCAGAGAAAAGTGTCAGTGGTGTGAACTGGCCGATCTGAGCTCGACTCAAGCCAGCTGATGGTGTCACCTGACACTCAGCTGGTCAAATGGCCGGTGGCTGGTTTTAAAGTACATCACCTGTTTCAGCAGCCAATCAGCTTGTAGTGAAGTCCACTGGTCAAGTCAAAATGACCACAGACAGCGTGTTGGCTTGCTGCAGCAGGTGCTCCGTCCCCACTGAGCCCTCTGTTTCTGTCCTCACTGTGTGCCATTGTCAGACAGTGGGTCACTGCTGCTGCTGGCTGTATCAATAAATATATCAATCAATCAATTTTATTTAGAAAGCCCAATATCACAAATCACAATTTGCCTCACAGGGCTTTACAGCATACGACATCCCTCTGTCCTTAAAAGAAGAAAAACTCCCCAAAAAAAACTTTAATGGCAGAAAAAATATGGTAGAAAGCTCAGGAAGAGCAACTGAGGAGGGATCCGTATGACACAATGAGACAGAGAGAGAGAGAGATGCAGGTAATGACAGTAGCTTACAACAACATTATTGAAAGTAATAATATTATAGTTATAGTTCTGGCTACTGTGGTACAATATGTTGAAAGTATATATTAATATCTGGTAGTATACATGTGTGACAATAATCATATGTGTATAATAACAGTAGAAGTATGACTAATGAGAGAAGGTGCCCGGTGTATTATAGGGGGGTCCTCCGGCAGACTAGGCCTAAGTCAGCCTAACTAGGGGCTGGTACAGGGCAAGCCTGAGCCAGCCCTAACTATAAGCTTTATCAAAGAGGAAAGTCTTAAGTCTAGTCTTAAATGTGGAGACGGTGTCTGCCTCCCGGACCGTAACAGGAAGATGATTCCACAGGAGAGGAGCCTGATAGCTGAAGGCTCTGGCTCCTGATCTACTTTTGGAGACTTTAGGGACCACGAGTAACCCTGCGTTCTCAGAGCGCAGTGTTCTGGTGGGATAATATGGCACTATGAGCTCTCTAAGATATGACGGAGCTTGACCATTTAGAGCTTTATAAGTTAACAGTAGGATTTTAAATTCAGTTCTGGATTTTACAGGGAGCCAGTGCAGAGAAGCTAAAACAGGAGAAATATGATCTAGTTTCTTAGTTCCTGTTAGTACACGTGCTGCTGCATTCTGAATTAGCTGGAGAGTTTTTAAGGACTTACTACAGCTACCTGATAATAGAGAGTTACAGTAATCCAGCCTAGAGGTAACAAAAGTGTGGACCAATTTTTCTGCATCTTTTCGGGTCAGGATAGGCCTAATTTTCACAATATTATGCAGATGAAAAAATTATGAAGTTAAGTTAACTGATCAGTTTCTTCTGGCTTCATAGATAAATACAACTGCGTATCATCCGCATAACAATGGAAATTTACAGAGTGATTTCTAATGATGTTACCTAAAGGAAGCATATATAGAGTGAATAGGATTGGTAGTGCTTATGCCCCGCCCACACACAAACATTCTCATTGACTGATGAATTGGTGCTGGTTATTTATATTATTGTGGCGTATTGATTATGAATACAGTCCGTCTGATGCTGGTTACACAGAGTTGTTGACTAGAGATGATACACCGTCTCATCGTGGTAACGATTATATTTCCTGACGTCTGACTGGCTGAACTCCCAGAGGTAAATGTGACATCACAGGCTAGGTCTTGTTTTTCTCACCAGGAGGGTGTTGTTGCGTTTCGAGGAGCAGCACAGTTGTCAGTCCTGGTTCGACCACCTGCAGAGAGCTCTGGCCAATCAAAGAGCAGCTCCACAACGTCCACCTGCACCCAATCGGAGCTCAGCTCGTCAGTCTCTGTACCCGGTGATAGATGTGGACTCGAGGGGTTCAGTCCCGCCGGCTGTGGAGCGCTGCATCTCCCACATCACAGCCTTCGGTCCGAACACTTCATGTACACACAGTCAGAAACTCTGAGACGGTCAGAGAGGACTGAGGCATCATGGGACATTCTGTCTGTCTGTGTCTCTCAGGTCTGAAGGTGGAGGGCGTGTACCGTCGCTGTGGTCTCGCCAGAAAAGTCAATGGATTGGTGAAGGCTCTGATGGCATCACCCAGCTCTGCCCCTCTGGAGAATGACGAGCAGGGTGTCTTAGACGCTGGCTCCGCCCTCAAACAATATGTCCGCCAGCAAGAGAGTTTGATCCCCGACAGAGACCGCCAGCAGTGGGTCCACGCTGCAGGTTAGTACATGTACCTGAACTGTGTGTTTAATGTACCTGTGTGTCAGGAGTCTGTACAACCGTGCTGCAGTGTTTGTATAAGCGTCATGGTGATGGTGACATCAGAGGCAGTAGTGTCAGTAGCGTCAGTAATGAGAGTAGTGTCAGTAGAGTCAGTAGTGTCAGTACAGTCAGCAGTAACAGTAGTGTCAGTACTGTCAGTAGTCAGTAGTGTCCACATGCACCTGGATAAGTGACTTTCTCACAAACCGTCCACAGACGGTGAAAATGGGTTCCTTCTGCTCCTCCACCCGCTCCCTCAGCATTGGCTCCCCACAGGGATGTGTACTGAGCCCCTACTGTACTCCATATACACTCATGACTGCACTCCGGCTCACCCCTCTAACGTCATCATTAAATTTGCCGATGACACCACCGTGGTGGGCCTCATTCAGGGAGGGGATGAGTCGGTGTACAGAAATGAGGTCCAGAAACTGTCCCTTTGGTGCACAGTGAACGACCTGTCTCTAAATACAGACAAAAAGAAAGAACTGATTAAGGACTTTAGGAGGCATGGAGCAGAGCTGGCCCCCCCTCCACATCCACGGGGTCAGGGTGGGGAGGGTCTCCACCTTCAAATCCCTGGGGGTACAGATCTCAGAGGATCTCACCTGGTCAGCCAACACCACAGGCCTAATGAAGAAGGCCCAGCAGCGGATGCACTTCCTGAGACTGCTGCGCAGGAATGGCCTCAACCAACAGCTGCTGGTCGCTTTCTACCGCTCTACCATCGAGAGTGTATTGGCGCAATGCATTACGCTATGGTACTGTGGCTGTTCGGCAGCAGAAAAAAAAGCTCTGCAGAGGGTGATTAAGATGGCGGAGAAAACCGTTGGCTGCACTCTGCCCGCCTTGGAGGACATCTCTACCTCCGGCTGCCTCCGCAGAGCCAACAAGATTTTAAAGGACTGCACACACCCTGGCCACAGACTGTTTACTCTTCTGCACTCTGGCAGGAGGTACAGAAGCCTAAAATCTCGGACTAACAGGCTCAAAAACAGTTTCTACCCCTGGGCCATCATGCTCATCAACCAGGGCAAATGAAATGAGCTTAAGTGCATATTTCAATTTCAATTCAATTTTTTTTTTATTTATAAAGCCCAATATCACAAATCACAATTTGCCTCACAGGGCTTTACAGCATACGACATCCCTCTGTCCTTATGACCCTCACAGCTGA